TAGAGTTTGTGTTGATCAAGTGATGTGATGTCTACAGTAAGAAAAGAATCAACAAGGACTGCTTTGGAATGTGCATTGCATTGCAACTGTGGCGCTACCAAAACAGTTAAATTTTAAAAGCGTGGTTATAAGATCTAACAGATCTTCTTGTTTGTTACAGTTCACAATCTCCCTAATCAATATTCATTTGTGTGAGTGTCACATCAGTTTGTTGAAGGAAACAACATTGAATACAAGAGGGAACTTAACAACATGATCATCTTTATAACAATGCACCAAGACTGACTAATCAAGTTGCAAAGATCAGACCACACACTCCTGACAAACACTTTCTCCTTGACTCTCAAGGTAACTTCCACCCAGATTGTCAAAATACCAGTCATCACCCAGAGAATCTCATAGCACTATCTATTGATGCTTCTGGATTCAAATCATTTGCTATGTTACATTGATGATCTTGTTACTGACTGAAGTCGTTGTCAAATATAACAATACAATTACGCCAACAAAATGTCAAATGTTCATGTGTATAGACATCAGACAAGGAAAAACGAAACAGAATTTGTGTTGTTTCAGGATTGAAATGGAGGATTGGGAACATGTCACCACCTGTAAGAACCTGATGCTATCAAGTCAGGAGACACACACAGGTCACAAGGGTTTCATCTGTGTTGGGACAACACATGTGTATGGTGAAGACATCACATGCAGAGGGCGAGTAAGTACTAGGGAGTTTAAGCAAATGACTACAGCTGGTGCTACTACGGCTGCCGTGACTGAAAAGGTTTGGGGAGAGTACATCTCGGTGGTCTGCCAAATTTTAAGTTTAGCGAGTAAAGCAAAATACAAAGATGAAAGAAACATTGGCTAAGGAGTTTAAAATCTCTTTTATTTGGTTTCTCACAGCCAAATGGCTTCGCTCAAAGGACGATGGCCGTTATTTGGTTGGACAAACAGATTATTTCTGCCGAAAGCGAATGCCATACACTTTGTACCATAACAATTTGATGGATGAAATATATAATTTCAGAGACAAATATGTCAAAGAATATTGAGTGAAGAACACAAATATATCAATACTCAAAAAAGCAAAATAGCATCGTATAGTTATCCAGATATAAAACATCTTCACTAAATCCTCAAAGCAAACTTAACCAAAGAAAAACAACCTCGTGCTCAACACAAATATTTCACTAGACTCGCTTCGCCATTCCAACACCTTTGCCAAAACTTATCGTAAATTCAGGATACGGATTTACAAGCTTATGAAAGGCAACCTTGACCCAATCTTTGACTTAAATTGAGTTTAAAGGATATAGTATTCGATAGAATTCTTAAAATGCCGCGATGTCCGTTGAAAAGGGCCAGAGAAGCAAAATAAACCAGACATAGTAACCGCTACTGCAAAACATCCCGACTCACATAGTCAGATTTCACGCTACAGCTGGATGCAACCGACATACATGGGCAGTGTCTCATTTTGGGGGAAATTTACTTCCGGCAGCTGTATCAGCGCCAACTGTAGCGATTTGCTTAAACTCCCTACTATTGCAAGGGGACACCTTGTGTTCTTATGTTTTAAGAGGTTGAAAGGTTTGTCACTGAACATTTAATAAAATTCTGAAGAGGACCTAAGCAACTTACTTCTCCCTGTGCATGCTTAGTTCTGTAATGTTTGTTTGCTTTGAATTTGCTTTGTGTATAAAACACAACACAATAGAATTAAACAAGTTATTGTTTCTATTCAATAGATTTTGATCTTTGATATCATTGAAGTTGTTCCTGAGCCAGGCCAACCACTGACCAAGAACAAGTTTAAGGTAAATCATTGCAATCTCCAGCACAGAACAAACTAACTCAGCAAATTGTTATATATACATGTATTACTAATTTGCTTTAGTTTCAGATTTATTTGCACACAGAATACAGAAGCAGTTGTTCAAGTTGTCAATACACAGCCTGTTGTCTACTGTAATTAAATTTTGTTTAGGGATAACCTGAAACACAGTAGTAGTGATGAAGGAAGGAAATGTAGTGTTATGTTTAGTAATGACTGCATGCTCCATGTTTTACCATAATAGACATTCAGTGTTGTTGGTGACTGTCCTTGTGTTACAACTGTCTCATTTAGATGCTGTATGGTAAGGAACAAAAAGGTCCTGTTAGCGCTCTTACTCAAGTCAATGGTTACCTTGTGAGTGCCATAGGACAGAAGGTGCGTTGTAACTGCTGACACATCAGTCCATGTTGCTTTTAACTTGTACCTCACACATATCCATGCAACAAAACAGTAGTTTGTTGTTCCTTGTGTTGCTGCAAGGTGTGTATGTGTGCATGAACTATATCAGTCAATCTTCCAATCTAGAAGGATTATTTACAAGATTTGTTAGTCATTCACCACTTCATAGAACTCAATTAATTTTTGTAATAGTAGTTACTTTCTGATGAACTGAGTATGCTCTGGCATTATGACAATTAACAGTGAGGTGTTTTGTTGTAAACATGTGGATTTTAACTTTGATAACAATTGTAGCTGCATTGCCCTGAGTTTGATTTCCTTTCAGATCCTTTCTGAATTTTAAGGGTTTTTATTCCCTGATTTTATTCTCCCCTGATTTTATTTTAGTAGTGTTAATATGCAGAAATGATAATAGTATTAACTATATCTTTAATCTTAAATTACTTGTTATTATTTCTATCTAATTAATCTAGTTATATGCATAAGCAATAAATGGCCCGCTTAGATTAGCACTTGCTATCCGCAGGCCAAATAACATGTAATTTTACAATGAAAGAAAATAAAGTTTATGGTGGTTGTTGTTGTTGTTGTTGTTGTTGTTG